GAAGCTGCTGTGCTGCACCCACAGAACAGGACTCTGGCCTTACACAGGTGAGGAAAAATCCTGAGGGGCTGTTGGGGGCATTGGGGCCCCTCGCAGTGCCTCTGCCCTGCGTCTGTCTGTCCAAAGCACGAGTGATTTTGTACGCGAACTCCTCGCTCTTCTTGCCCTCACCAGGGCCGGCTGCCTCTGACTCCTCTAAACCTCAAAATCTTCCCTTCTGCTTCTTGAATTCAAGTGTTAATAAACCCAGCAGCAATCAAACTCTAAATCGAGCATTTCAAATGCCCTTTTGTTTAATTAGCAGAGCCCCTGCCTGCAGACACAGGCAGCACTGTCCATCTCCGCCACCCAGGGTGGGAGGTGAGGGGCGAGGACGCGGCGCCCAGGAATTCCTCCTCTTTTAAGGCGTGACCTCTTGTACCAACTATTTTCTCGCCTCCTCTCTGCGTCAGCTGCCCAGAAACAAAATGTTTACGACTGAAGGACTTAAGTGAACTTGCAGCTGGGGGGCTGTGGCTGGCAGGTTGAGCCCCTTCCATGCTTTTCATCCCCTGCACCCAGGGCTTTCTTTTCCCCAGGGCAGAAATAAGTAATGCAGCTGGCCCAGGGCTGAGGCGATGCTTTGTCCCTTGGCTGTAGAAAGGAGGTGACTGGCCTTTGCCTTGAAATCCACCCTGGTCCCCTCCAGCATCACCCTGGGGATGGGTCCCCAGGGGCTCCCTTGCTCAGTAAGGAGGGGAGAAAGCACAGCTCGTCGTTATCAGGAGCGTGTTAACCCCATGGCAAACATGATTTCACTGGTGCAAGGGTAATGGTGGTGACGTCTGAGTGGGGAACACGGTCCCTTCCTTTCTGGGACCTAATCTAAATTGCTTTATGAGGGGCCAGCAGGTAGACCAAAGCCTCCTGTTTCCTGGGGGACAGGGAGCCTGGTCAGGGGCGCCCCTGAGCGCCCCTTTGCTGTGGCGTGTGGCACAGGGGTTATCTCACCTCCGGCAGTGGGACATCGGAGGGGGCACAGTGGTTAAAGTACTTGCTTCTCAGTGGGCTGTGGGGCTGGGCTGCCTGCGCCTCCTCTCCTCTTGCCATGCCCTGGCATGTCCCCAAGGATGCCCCAGTGCCACCAGCAGCCTGGGCGAGCTGTCTCACTGCTGCTGTGCAGGGCTGCAGCCATGCAGCGAGTCCCATCGCTGCTGAAGGGTCATGAGGAGCACTCTTGGCCCCTGCCTGCTTATCCCTTGTGGCTTACTGATGCATCGCTGGTGGTGTTTTTCCTCCCAAAACAGCCCCTGCAAACACCCCTCAGGCTCAGGACCTGCCTGTGAACCCCCTCTGTGTTGGGGTGCTCAGCTTCCACTATGACCAGCAGCTGCCTCAGGTGCTCAGGACCATGTTGCCTCCTGCATGCCGGTGCTCACAGCACCCTGGGGTGGAGATGCAGTGATGCTAGGGCTCTCCCCATCACCTGGGGACTTGGAGATGTCACATGCACCTGGGGACAGCGACTGCCCCTGTAGGCACCCCAGTCCCAGTGATATCTGCACCCTTAGAAGTGAGCAGGGCTTGGTGTGGGGAAGGATGTTGACTGTTGTTAGCCCTGGGAGAGCCACTCTGGCCCGCGCTGGCACCCTCGCAGTGGTGGCACATGGCAGTCACCCAGAGTGGTACCCAGGAACAAGCTGCAAATGAGTGCCCCACCACCCACGGACAGTGCTCCCACTTGCCTGGGGGGGGACACAACAGGCCAGAGCAAGGGCCGGGGGGACCCTCTGCACTATTGACCCGCCAGACGGGCGAGCACAGCCCCCACCACAGCCCACCCTACCAGGAGAGCTGCCGGGGCCCCTCGGTGCCAGAGGAAAGCTCAGCCACAGCCACACATAGAAACGCAGATTTATTGTGACATCGAGTCGCAACCAGCACTCACCCCCCCCCAAGCAGTGACTCCAGACCTGCACAGATGCTCAGACCCCCCTGTGATTCCTCTGTGCTGGGCCCTGGGGGCACAAGCCCACCCACCTCATCCAGGCAGGCTCACTGGGGCTGAGGGCTTGGGTCCTGCTGTGCCAGGGGCTGCCTGTGGGCTGGCAGCATGGAGGAGGGAACAGAAGCTGGATTCGGGGTCCTTCACTGATGTAAGCCACCAGCTGGCATCTCCAAGCAGTCACAAGGCTCTCGGGATCCCCAGGGAGAGTCAGACCCCCCAAATGTGCGAGTGAGAGGGCTGAGCATGGGAGACGTTGCCGTGTCCTCTCCTCTTTCTGCACTCCCTCAGTGCCAGCCTGGATGTTTTGTGGAGCCAGGAGCGGTGCAAACCTGGTTCCCTCCCGCAGCTGCTACACATATCCTGTCAGGTTGTAGGAATTGAGCTCGCTCTTGGTCTTCTGTGTCTGGCTGACGGAGTGCCGGGGGCTCTTGCCCGCCAGCAGCCGGGGCTGGTAGGTGCTTGTGTAGTTGGCTGCTGGGTCCCGGGCAGGGCAGGAGGTGCAGAGGATGAAGCCACCAACAAGGGAGAAGAGGGAGGAGATGATGCCCAAGTAAAGCGCTTCCCCGAGCTCGAACTTGGTGCTGTCGGGGAGGAGGGGGTTGTGGAAATCCCGCAGCACAACGTGGATGTTCCACACCAGCGGGATGAAGCAGAGCAGCCCCCCGAGGATGAAGACCGCGCCACCTGCCACCGCCACCAGGTCCTTGCCCGGCGAGGCCT